ATGGATCTATTATTACTAATTGACTGAAAATATAAAAGGAAATGAATATTAATAAGCGATTACAAATAAAAAATGATCCATAATTGACTAAAAAAAAAATAAATGGTCAGATCATTGCATTTTAATTAAAAATGGAATGGAAATTAATAATTGGAGGAAAATATTTCAATAATAATATTCTACATTATCAATAGTAAATGCATATTTTAAACAATAGTAAAGGTAAATTAAAAATGGAATGGAAATATTTCAATAATAATATCTACATCATCACATAAAAATGGAACGAAAATTAGGTAAAAATATCAATGCATTTGATATTCTAATTGACTAATTTACTGAAAATATATAAAAAAAAATGGCTAAAAATGAATCTGATATTACTAATTAACTGAAAATATAAAAGGATAACTAATTGAGTGATATTCTACCATTATATATTTTCACCCAAGTAACCCATCTTGATGGATTGAAAGTGTTAGCTCTAGACGAAGATGAACAAGATTGTGTTGCCACTACCAATGTCGTCTACAAAGAGGTTTCAATAATGTGTAAATATAATCGGTGATATTAAGTTTTTTTTTTTAAATGAAAAAATTGATGTATATCTTGACAAAAAAATATATCTTCCTTACAAGTGAATAAGAATAGCAATTCATCTCTATAACTGAGTTGTTAGAGATCGAGCACATTTGCCTAATTTATGAAAATATTAAACAATGATAAATAAAATCTTCAAAGTTATAGCTCCGCATGCGTACATCTAAATATAGCTATTAATTTGAGCAATTATTTGCACAAATTCAAGCAATGATAACATCAAAATATATTAACGATCCAAATCATATCTTTAATTGTACTATATAATATTTGATGTTCTAATTTAAATAATTATATATCGATTCATATATTATTAATATATTACAACAAATCCATTACGTGCATCGCACGGGTGCAAATACTAGTATCTACAAATTGCAAAATCCACTGTTGGCACGACAACAGCCTCAACTTTACATTTTGTTTCGTGGACTTTCACATTTACAATTTACGGGAGATTCAGAAATCTTTTTCAGCGGGGCAAAAGATTAAAATTAATGAAATATTTTGAAAAAAAAAAATTAAAATACTTAGAGGTTGAATCATAAGTATTATTAACTAGAGATCGATTAAAAAAATATATTAAAACATAATAAAAATATTCAAAATAAAATATGAAACATAATTAATTAGATATAATATTTTGAATATAAATTACATTATAAATCATTATCTCACTATTAATATTTAAAAAAAAAAACATCAATGTTACAAATAAAGAATTTAATCAGAATTAGAAATTAAAAATTAATCTCATAAATCACAATTATAATCTTACTATTAATATTTAAAAAATGCCAAAAATATTAATATTAAAAAATGAGGAAAAAAAAAACTCCAATGTTACAAATAAAGAATCCAATTAGAATTAAAAATTAAAAGTTAATCTCATAAATCACAATTATAATCTTACTATTAATATTTAAAAAGACCCAAGAAAATGAAAATTTATTTGAAAATTCATGTTTTAGGATCTGCACGGACCGCACCAATGACATTTAAGACATTAGCATATACCTTATCATCTAGGCTATTTTATGTCAATGGTCCACCTTGTAAGGTGAATCATAGTCCACGATATAATGATTGAACTATTATTTATCCGGCCACATTTTATTAATATACCCACATCAAACCTTATAATTGTTTTTACTGATATGTAAATACCCACATTCTCTTTTCACTAATATAATATGGTGTGTGATATATATGCATCATAACTATTTGTTTTATATTCATGCATTAGCTAACTGTAAACTAATTTGATGGTTCTATTACAAATTAATTATGTAAAGGCAGGTAAGAAATGAGTTGAGAAATTCATGTGCCTGCCATGCTAAGCTGAGGTCTGGTATACCCACCCAATAGTGAGAAAGTGAGACAGAAAAATGTTGTGTAACCATATGGCTTGTTTGTTATGCCTAAAAAGGAGATGAACATATCATTGCATGCTAAGTTGTAAGTTAGTTCTCTATTCTTCTTGTAAATTATCTTCTTGTAAATTTTTTTCTAATTTCTATTCTTGTTATGCTTTTCTAGTAGCAGCCTAGGATTTCGGAAGCTCAGTCACAAAAGGTAATGGGGTTTGGTTAATAGTTGTTAGCTGATTGAGTAAGTGAGTCTAACTAGTTGATAGCATTCACGGATTGTAGAAAAGTGTTTGGTAAATTAACTGTTAGCTAATTACTTTGAGCAGCTTTTTGAATTTTAACATTTTAGAGTAATAAGTTGTTACAAAAAATTAATTAATTAAATACTTATATTGATTGTTTTTTTTTTTTTTTTTGAAAGTTATTGGCTCTATTACATTGTAGTATCTGTTCATATACTTTCTCAACCTACTGAAACACAAAGAACCAATAACGCCTCCAGGTACCATTAGACCACATAGTCCTGGTACTTATATTGATTGTTTAATCAAGCCAAACAACTAATATAATAGTGATTAAATAAGTCAAAATTAACTTATAAGCTAACTATGTTACTAAATAGGACCAATATCAACGGCTCTCTGTCACTTTCTCGATGCATGGTTAAAAAGAAGATTTTGGTGAAAGATGAATGGTGGAGAGACCAAATTAAACAGTTTCTCTTTTTATGATCATTGATAAGCAATACCATCTTATTTGAAAATTTTAAGTATAAAACCTGCCAAAAAAATGAAAATTGAGTGTGATGAGAACAATAGTTTTAAGAAATGATTTTATTATTGATGAATTCATTGTATTAATGTATATGTATGTATGTATGTATAAGGATATAAAGAGTCGTATTTAAAGATAAGAACGGTAAATGATATATTCTCAATAATACAGAAGGAGAAGGAACTTTAGTGTGCCTAAAATACATAATCTTAATAAGTATAATATTTATATGTAAAATTATGATACTATTTTGAGTATATAAAATTGATTGTTAATAATAGAGTTAATTTCAGCAATGGTCCTCCGACTACTGTGATTTTTCAAAATTGATCCTGGACTTTTAATTTGGACGAAAAAGACACTTGACTTTCAGATTTGTTCTAGTAATAGTCTTTCTGTGAATTTACTGTTAGTTTAACGTTAAAAGCAGAGGTAAAAGTGTCCATTCATATGATGGGTGGTTCTTCCCATTTGTTCCAATGACGTGAACGACGTTCAAAGCAAGATTCCCTTCACGGGGAAGGCTTTCTAGATGATGTCTTATTACAGCATTCCCTTCATGGTTTACAAGTGCAATATTCTCCAACCTGGAGACATCAAGACCACCATCTGTAAGCTTCCTGTCTCTCTCCTTTTCTGAGACTTCATTGAACATCCACAACTTTGAACCAGGTGCTAAGAAGGCTTCTAATACCTAAAATGCATATAACTGGAAAAAATGAGTAGGAAATCTTATATTTTATTCTTATTTCCATTCCTAGTTGAGCCAAGAAGCAATAAAATGTGAAGGGATTCATAGCGGAAAAATTAGAATGTGAATTAGGTATAGGAGAGTGGCAGTAATGTCTACCACCAGAGTCTATGCACATAGCATGTCGGCCATGTTCTGGGAAATCTGTTGAGTCAATGCAAGATTACCATTATCATATCTTCCATATCTTGTCGCCAACCACAAAAGAGAATCCTCTCTGGAGACCTGGCCTTTGGATGATTAAATTTTTCGGCAGATTTCCCCTCTGAACTTGCAGCATTCATGTGAAACAAAAAGGAATTAGGAGCTTTGATTGATTTAACTTACCACAATCATATCATCAATGTCCCATCTCCATCCACAAAGTAGAATCTTCTGTCTTTTTTGTTGACCGAGCAATGTGTATGGTTACCTATTGTCACCTACTTAGTTATCAAGATTTCATACATTTCTGTAGATTGACTGCCAAGCTAGGCTGAATCCTGATCAGAGTGCATTCTCTCAATTCAAAACACATCCATAGTAAACCTAACTTATGAATCATAATTATTTAAAAGAATAGCGGCCCTGGAGCATATGAGTCATCATCTTCCGCAACAACAAGAACTTCATCACCTTCTTGCAGAACATAGGAATCCACGTACGGGATTCAGAATGATTTTTCCACCACATGATTTTCTCGGAATGTGTTGCCAACATCTCCCAAACATAAGCTCATATAAACCCAGCAAATGAATGGACACTTTTACCCCTGCTTTTAACATCAAACTAACAGCAAATTCACGGAAGGACTACTACTGGAACAAATCTGAAAGTCAAGTGTCTTTTTCGTCTAAATTAAAAGTCAATGACCAATTTTGGGAAATCGCAATAGTCGGAGGACTATTGCTGGAATTAACTCGTTAGTAATAATAAATATTATAATACTTATCAATTGAAAATTGTGATACTTATACATAGATGTCTACAATAAAATTCAATCCTGTCTTATGGACAAAAATTCATAAGTGAGATGATCTCACACAAATTTTTGTCGTACATTTATTACTTATATGATAAACTACAGGGATCGCAGTTGTTGCCTAATTCGTAACATATATACCCTGGCCTCTATGTCTTAATTACAGCATTTCTTGTACTTATTAGGCAGAGACCTAACTAGATATGGTACCAAGGAAGCGACTATGATGAAGGCTGTCTTAGTTGTACTGACCGGCTCTGTGCAAGCTGCAGACCAGCCATACCCAAACATCATGCCAGAAATGGCTATTCTCAGCTCTCTCTGGTAGGGCATGTTTGCAGTAAGATATTCAATCACCGTCATTGCCGAAGAAAGGCTTAGAGTATTGGCCACCAAGAAAACAGTGAGGGAAAATGTGGAAAATCCATGAGTAATATTATTCTTGTATATGTAGTCTGGGGGATTGATCCCAGCTTGAAAGGTGACTTGGACTAAGAGCGCCGCCACCACCAGTATCGCATTGCGGGCATCACTTGCTGTGTCCCTTGAGTACTTGAACTCAAAGTACTCAATCCAGTCTTCCGGCTCCCTATCTGGGAGTTGGTCTGGTAATATATCTACTCTCTCGCGACCCCTACTACTCGGGTTTCCCATCTCCATCGATGCCATATTTGTTTCTGTGGGATTTCAAAGCATGCATATAATCTATACCTATATATACAGATACTACTATGGAACGATAAGGTACTGTGTTATTCCTGGCCAACCAAAATCTATATATATTTTGCACTCTATATATATATATATATATATATATATGAACTGTGAACATATATATATATATATGGCCGATAAGGTGCCCTAGCTCTTCGTTCAAGGTGATTTTTGGCTGGTCTCTCTCTCTAAGATAACACGAAAGAGGCCTTTTGGCTGAACTGTACTCTCATATATATATATATATGGACGATACGGTGCCCTAGCTCTTCGTCCAAGGGGATTTTTGGCTGGTCTCTCTCTCTCTAAGATAACACGAAAGAGGCCTTTTGGCTGAACTGTACTCTCTTTATCTTCTCTCTAGAACGTACAACATTGAATGAAAAATGCTCTAAGAGGCTAATTATACAAATCAAAGCACACAAACAAATCACCTTAAGAACATAAATTATATGCACATTTAAAGCTTTACATCGATGCATTTAAGTACACAAATCAGACACCATAAGTATACAAACAACGCACCTTAAGTACACAAATCAAACAACTTAACTAATAACATAAACCATACACCTAAAATTTTAAAATGGCGCACCTTAAGTTTCAACAACTCAAGCACCTTAAGCATACAAATCACGCACCTTAAGAAGAAAATCATGCACTTACCTACACAAACCTCGCACCTTAACAACTTTAAGTTTCAACGACTCAGACACCTTAAGAAGGAAAATGACGTGCCTTAAGTACACAAACGTCGCACCTTAACAACCGCACAATCGCACCTGAGAAGGCCAACCACACAAAAACATATATATATATATATATATATATATATATATATATATATATATATATATATATATATATATATATATACACGCGCACACACACACACACATTGATTCAAATACAAACCATGCTTCCGGTGTAGATTCACCATCAAGTATGCATAAATGCACCACAATGAAATTAAATACACCAATGCACCACAAAACGTACCACATACCAAAAAATCACCACATCTAATGGTGCATTTTTGAATACTTTGTAGTGCATTTTTGCGTACCTAATGGTGAGTGACAGCACGACCGCACGAGAATACTGTCCGCACAAGAACTTAACCATATATCCAAGCCATATTTTGTCTCGTGCATTTGTGGAGTTAAATCCGAGTCATTGATCTAGCCTAGATCAACGTCCAGGATTAACAATGATTTAAAAAATGTGGTGTCAATTTTGTCTTTTTGCATCTAGATCAAATTTAAGGTGCGTGGTTTTTGTACTGTGTAAGGTGCGTCAGTTGTTGAAAACTTAAGTGTGTCGTCGATCTAAAGCTTTAGGTGCATGGTTTTCCTTCTTAAGGTGCGTGATTTGTGTGCTTAAGGTGCGTCAATTGTTGAAACTTAAGGTGCGTACGTTGGCCTAAAGTTTTAGGTGCGTGGTTTTCCTTCTTAATGTGTGTTGTTTTCCTTCTTAAGGTGCGTGATTTGTATGCTTAAGGTGCGTCAGTTGTTGAAACTTAAGGTGCACCATTTTAAAACTTTAGGTAGGTGCGTGGTTTCTGTTCTTAAGGTGCTTTGTTTATGTGCTTAAGGTGCGTCAACCTAAAGTTTTAGGTGTGTGATTTTCTTTCTTAAAGTGTGTTGTTTTCTTTCTTAAGGTGCGTGATTTATATGCTTAAGGTGTGCCATTTTAAAACTTTAGGTGCGTGATTTGTGTTTTTAAGGTGTGTGATTTGTGTACTTAAGGTGTGCCATTTTAATGCTTAAGGTTAGCCTTCTTAAGGTGTGTCATTTATACAGTTTTTTTTTTTTTCATTCAACAGTATAGTTAATTTTTTCATTTTTGGTTCCCAAGTTCAAAATGATATAATTCAAAAGAAAAAATATATATAATAACAAATTGTGGAATTATCTTTGGAGTAAATATGAAGAAGATGAATGCAGGACGTGTGTGTGTTTGTGTTTTTTTTTTTTTTTTTAACTTTCATTGATTTGAGCCCTTGATCTAGATTTGATCAATGGCTTATATCCGCACCAAAACTCGATCATCCATATATATATATATATATATATATATATATATATATATATATATATATATATATATATATATATATATATATGTATATATATCAAAACTGTGAACAAATGTGGCCGATAGAATTTACAAGATCAATGGCAAAATGTGACTCCAAATGTAATATGATGACATCGTGATTACCATTCCAAATAGGTGGTCATAAGTTTGAACTCAGGTGGTGGGAGCTTAGAAATCATGAGTATTTAAAAAAAAAATACTATTTTTTTTCAAAAATTTAATAATTTAAAGAAATTTGGCTATATTAACATTTGATCTGAGTACACTGAAAATAAAATGCCAATATAATAAATATACTAAAAATAAAATTCTTTTTTATAAAATAAAAGAAAAATGGTCAAGTTGACCCCTTAAGTCAATCAATAGTACAATTGGATCCCATGTAAAAAAATAAAATAAAATAAAATAAAATTAAAAAAAAAAAAATTTTTTAAAAAAAAAACCTCCATTCAAATTTCCAAAATCAGTAAAATTGTTCAATTTAATCCAAATTGACATTTAACATGTTAATTCTTCTCATGTTTGACATGTACCTTTTTTTATTTTTAATTTATTTATTTATTAAAATTTAAAAAAATAAAATAAAAAATAATATCCAAATTCTATCATGAAGTTTAATTTTATGATGTAAACTTTAGATCATATTTCATAATTTGTCCACAGAAATTAAGAAAATGAACATGATTTCTTAAGTTCATATTATGTATTGTCTTGAAGTTAAAATGGTTTAACTTATTATACCATTCTCAACTAAGGTCAGAATTTTCTTTAGCTACTAGGCAAACATTCGGTCATTCAGCTAGAAATTGTTCAAATGGTCCTCTATACATGCATCCCTCTCTCACTTTCTCAATAGTTAAAAGAGTAAATACCTAAAATGGTCCCTCGACTATAGCTAAATTCACAAATTGGTCATCGACTTTCAATTTCAACCAATTAAGTCCTTAACTTTGCAATTTTAACACGATTTGGTTCTCCATCTATTTGACCATTTGTTGACCGTGATCGACGATCTCCAGAAGAACCTTCAGCTCTCGTCGGAGCACGTTGAGGCCTCTAGGATGACGTTGCACCGGTTCGGAAACACGTCGTCTTCTTCGCTCTGGTACGAACTCAACTACATTGAATCCAAAGGGAGGATGAAGAAAGGCGACCGGATTTGATAGATTGCTTTCGGCAGTGGATTAAAATGTAACAGTGTGGTCTGAAAATGAAACCGGAACCTTAAAAACCCGACGATGAACCATGAAATTACATATATATCCTCAAAAATCACAGTCAACAAACGGTCAAATAGACAGAGGACCAAATTATGTTAAAATTGCAAAGTTAAGGACTTAATTGGTCAAAATTGAAAGTCAATGACCAATTTGTGAATTTAGCTATAGTTGAGGGACCATTTTGGGTATTTACTCTAGTTAAAAAGAAGATTTTAATGAAAGATAGATGGTGGAGAGACCAAACGGTTTATCTTTTTATGATCACTACCACTTTATTTGAAATTTTATGAACAACATGCCCAAAAGTGGAAAATGAGTGTAATATAACTTGGGCTTCTAATTCTCCAGCATATAGTAGTATAGAGATCGTATAATTGTATTGAAATATTTGATCAAAGGCTAACAAGAAATGGGAACATTCATGTTGTTGTCAAGGCTGTCTACAAATGGGCAAATTTTATGATCCACACAACTGTGCCATTATAACATGGACCATAGTTCACCTTAGAAGGTAAACCACATTTTTAATATATTAAAGGTTCATTTTTAATATATTAAATTAAATGTTCATTATTCGTGAAACGGGTCAAATCAAAATGAAATATCATACTTATATTAGAAAATGTAATATTAATCAAGAATAAATGTTTAAGCGCACAGGAAGCCCCTCCCTCACCCGATCCCTATATATATATATATATATATATATATATATATATATATATATATATATATATATATATATATATATATATATATATATATATATATATATATATATGGTTGAGTTCAAATGAGGACAACAATATATAGAGGACTATGAGGACAAATAATGGGCACACAACAAATCAATATCAGATACACAATTAAATACATAATGGCACACAGGAATACATGTAAACATCAGGTTTCGAACTCAGACTCTATTAATTAATAAATCTATGCGCGCGACATACAAACTGCGGCACACGACTTCATTCAGCCATGCACACAACATACAGACTAATGGCACACACTACATTTGTCCTCAATCCTCTATAATATACTTGTCCTCATTTAAACTCAAGTCTATATATATATATATATATATATATATATATATATAATAGGGCATCACATGTAATATTGAAAAGTAAGTTTCCAGATGAAAACTAAAAAATAAATAAAATAAAATCCTGTATGTATAAGCAGATAATATACCGTGACAGTGGATGAATTTGGAAGAAAATGATCTTTTGCATTATGCCATGTTCAATCAAAAGTCATACTGAATGACTGCGATCTATAAAATAAAAAGGCATACAAGCAGGAATGTATTACTTATATGATGCCATTAAATCCTTAAAGTGAGCCAGGAGTTCATCAACCGTCATCACTTTGTGATCAGGAATGTCTCTCACTCGGACGCTAACCTGGTATAATTCAACCAAAGAGAGGTGTTGAGAATTTTAGTTCTAATCGTTGCAGACAATATACAATTACCGCGATATAAATTATTATCTATACAATTACGCTAACCTCTCCAGTGGTTGCTTCCTTTTCACCAACCACTAATATGTAGTTGTACTGCGCAACCTGAGCTTCCCGTACCTGTATCGATCCAGAATGTCAGTAATCCAAATCAACAAACAATCACACATCAAATTACGATTTGAGTGTTTCATGCAAAATAAAAATAAACTCTGTTTCATAAAACTAAGTTCTAGTATATCCGTTCTTTACTCACTTTTTTCTGGATTGTCCTGTCAGATGTATCAACATCAACATGAAAACCCGCTTCATGAATCCGATCACGCAGCTAATCAAACATAATGTACTGTTCAATATTCAAATTGCAAGACAGAGTATAGCTAGCAGTCACTCCAATGAGATAGATATGATAAATTTACCGTTAGTAAAAGTTTAAATTAAGTTTTTACTCTCCTGCAATCAAAATATGGGATAATCAACTAAAATGTCAAATTTTTTTACCTTGGAAAGTTTGTGGATGAAGTTGAAGATGAACGTTTTTGGCCTAATTTGAAGAAATATGTGTGCAGATTACTAGAAGGAATCATAAATTGTTCTAAATTGTAGTAGTGCAAAACTGCAAAACTTAAATTTCTAATTTTACCCTTTATTTTAACGTAGACCAAGGAATATTGATCAAGGCCATTTATTTTAATACAAAATAGCATAGGGCATTTTTAAAGTCAATAACTAAAGTGAGAGTGCAACCTAGGAAATCATAACACAAAATACCATTTGATCATGCAAGAAATACAGCCAAAAATGTAGATACTACCATAGGGCATTTTAAAAAGTCAATAAATAAAGTGATAATTAAAAACAAAGCTAACAAAATAAATCAGTACCACCTATGGAAGAACAATAAATTGGAAAATGTAAAGGGAAAGAAGTAACAATGTCCAAAACTGAGTCTTGTTAATATAGCATGAACACAGCAGTAAATGTAGAAAAGAACTGACAATTAGTTGACTGCAAAACTAACAAAATACCAATTTGTGATATCAACTACTCAAAAAATTGCAACTAATTGCAGATTTGGAAAACCCTTTAAAGAACAGAAAGATTGAATGTCACCTTTAAGCTTTTGTAGTCCGGATAAGATATTCCATAAACCCTTTGCAAGCTTTCACCAGTGGTCCTTTTAGGACATCTCGTGGTCATTTTAAACTCGAATTTTTTTAAGAAATAGGATTACAGGTAGTTATTTTTTAAAATATGGAGGACCAAAAGATCATTTAAAACTCGAATAACCATAGCAGGTAAATCGCTAATACTCAAAGGACCATTGAAGGTATTAATACATTTATTACTTATATGATAAACTACAGGGATCGCCGCAGGTGTTACCCTGGCCTCTGTGTTAACAGCATTTCTTGAAGAGATTAGGCAGAGTCCTAATTAGATATGGTGCCAAGGAAGCGACTACGATTAAGGCTGTCTTAGTTCCACTGATCGGCTCTGTGCTACATGAAGACCACCCATATCCAAACATCATGCAAAAACCGGCAATTCTCAGCTCTCTCTGGTAGGGCATGTTTACCGTAAGATATTCAATCATCGCCATTGCCGAAGAAAGGCTTAGAGTATTGGCCACCAAGAAAACAGTGAGGGAAAATGTGGAAAATTCAGTAGCTTTATTCTTGTATATGTAGTCGGGGGGATTGATCCCAGCTTGATAGGTGACTTGAACTAAGAGCGCCGCCACCACCAGTATCGCATTGCGGGCATCACTTGGTGTGTCCCTTGAGTACTTGAACTCAAAGTACTCAATCCAGTTTTCCGGCTTCCCATTTGGTAACATATCTACTCTGTCGCCCTCCCTATTACTCATGTTTCCCATCTCCACCGATGCCATATTTGTTTCTGATCTCAGGGATTTCAAAACATACATATATGCATATAATCCATATATACCTATATATACACAGATACTAGCATGGAACGATAAGGTCATGTGCATATATATATAAAATTATATATATAAAATATTATATATATATATATATATATATATATATATATATATATATATATATATATATATATATATATGTATGTGTGTGTGTGTGTGTGTGTGTGTGTGTGAGAGAGAGAGAGAGAGAGAGATCAAGGGATACAATATGGGCAATTTATATCGTGCACCACGGCGCACATAGCAATATGCGGCTATGCGTTCAGGCACAAAACGTGCGCGATTCATGCTGACGTTATGCAGATGTCATTCCGTCCATTCAGACCAAACCTCATTATGTGTATTCAGTTAAAATTTCATGTGCATTGTGTTTGAGTTTATGTGTATTCAGTTAAGAGTAATGTGTATTATATTAACCAAACTCATTATGTGTATTCAGTTAAAAGTTAATTTATGTGTATTGTATTATGAATTTATATGTATTATGTATTATGTTAGATTATGTGCATTCTGTTATGAGTTTTTGTGCATTCGAAATAAGAAATTTTTTTTTTTAACAACGTAACAAAATGATATCGTTTTGGGAGGTGCAGGGCGCACAGTACTATGTGCGCCCTGGTGCATGGTATAACGATTGTACAATATGCTCTGTTTAATTTCACGAATGCAAATAGGCAGATTTATAACCCAAGTTGTATAATACATCCAAAAAAAAAAATTAATTTTCTCTTGTACATACATGGGCTGTCCGCCCATGTGATACCTCACACTCTCACAGCCCATGTGGCCTTCACGGCAGCCGATGTGGGCTGTCATGTGTAGCGCGTGACAGCCAATGCGCTGACAGCTCAAGTGGCTGTCAGCTATCACGTGGTCTGTCAACGCAATAGTTGACCGCCCATGTACAAATAAAACATTACAATTTTATTTTTTTGGATGTATTATACAACTTCGATTATAAATCTTCTCGTTTGCATTCATGATCCTCTACACAAAATATTTAGCAATGACGAATTTCGAATTACATATTTTATTTTTCTGAAGTTCAATATGGCAAATTCATTTTTTTCGGTTTTAAAGTTTTAAAAATGTCAAAGTTTTTATCACACTCTTATGGAAGTGATAGCAATGTTGAATGTCTCGCGAATGTATTTAATTCAAGAGGTGGAAGTGAGTTTGCTTGTGCATGGCATCAAAGAGATGTGTCTGGTCGGGTTGCATAAACATATTTAAATTCGAGTTCGAAGACTACCCGTTTTATTGTAAAAATATACTCGAATCTATATCTTTTCATTTATTTATCTTATTCAATACAGAACATTTGTTCTAAATATTATATATATCGTACATTTGTAATTTCAAGCAATGAAAATTGTAATCCTCTACTTTACGATTTATTTATGCCATGTACTAGACAATTTATTTATTTATATATTCACAGTACACAAAATATTATATTTAAATAGTATATCGTAATGAAATGGATATAGAAATGTCATGTTAAAAGTTTCACGCCATTCGCATTGATAAATATAACCACAAATTATAACATGAATCTTGGTATGTCTTCCTAATAAGGAACGATAAAGCACTGTGTCATTGTTGGGCATACAAAATCTATATTTAAACGGTCGGATCAAATGATAACATGGTCCTCTATAAAAAGTGAAGATTGATTTCAGTTGCTCAAAATTCATAATTTTAATTTTTACATTAAATTATCCTTAAATTTAATACTTACTAAATTGATATTTAACTGAAAGATCAAATTTGAAACAAAATTAATAATCAAAAGATCATTTATGGTCTAATTAAAAATCAAGAATAAAAATTAATAAATATCAATAATTAAGGGATAAAATTAACTAAATAGTCCTCGTCAATGTTAAAATTTTTCACGCAGGTTTAGAAGGAAGTGTAATAACCCAACAAGATAGTTCAAGTGGCAAATGAGCTTTCTTTGTGCGAGAAGATTCTGGGATAATGTGGGTTTGATTCCCACCTAATTGTGTTTTTACAAAAAAAAGAAAAAAAAAAAAAAAAGGAGGAAGTGTAACATTCACGTTTTTTTAAAATTAATAATTAGCCACTAGTGAATTGTATTAACTGTTGATTGTTTTAACTAATTTAACAATCTAATCGTGTATATTAATTTTTTTTAGAAAAATAGTTGACAAATTTATAACATGTAAAATGAATTTTAAAATTATGAATACGTTTTATAACAAAAACTAATTAATTATAATAATTACATTATAACTAATAATAAAATAAACAATATTTATAATAATAAAAATTAAAATTAAAAAATTTAATTACAGATCATATTTTTTAAGTTTAAAAAAAAAAAACGCCACATTTTCTAAGACAGCCTAACATTAGTCATTTTGTCAACTCCAAGTCAAGTCACAAGTCACAACCCCATCTTAACATTTAATTTTGTCGAGATTCACATTTTCAATAAAATTAGTTTCCATTTTTGTTTCACTCGATCATTTAATTTGATTTTTTCTTTTATAAAAGGAAAGGGCTTGGAAATCAAACATGTAACATCCTAATATGGCAAATTATACTCTGGACTGCGGTTCACAATGCATTATGGTCCATGCATCAAAACGGTGTCGTTTCTTTTAATGAAAAGAAACGGCACCTGTTCCGCGCAGTCTGCAAAAAGTAACTTTGATTGTATAACATATTCAGTTTCATTTTGTATGCACTACAGTTTCATTTCGATGTAACTGTAATTTCATTCGATATTATACACTCAAATATGTGAAACTGTTATTTAGTTTCATTATATATACACTATAGTTTCATTCCAACACAACTACATTATCATGTCGATATAACTACAGTTTCATTGAGCAATATACACTCAAATATGTGAAATGTTATTCAGTTTCATTTTATATACACTGCAGATTCATTTCAACACAATTACAGTATCATTTTGATATAACTACAGTTTCGCTGAACAATATACACTCAATTTAGTCAAATATGTGAATTGTTAATCAGTTTCATTTTATATACACTGCAGTTTCATTTCAACACAACTACATTTTCATTTCAATTCAATTGCATATTCATTTGGTAATATAAAAATAATACGTGACACAGTGTCAGTTTAGATACACTGTCGAATATAAAGCCAATTAGTCAAAGGTGGATTTCACTTGGGAGTAACCAAGTCAAGATGTCTAAGGATACAAGATCACGAGTTTTAATCTCTCCTAAAAATATAAATACAAACTTTTAATAACAAGATCACGAGTTTTAATCTCTCCTAAAAACTTCCCTCCTAATCTTCCCTCTTGATGTGGCAGGATCTAATTGGATTATTTAGCATTTAATTTATGAGTCACACTTGTGTGAGATAATAGGATCTGTAAGACAGGTCGGATTAATTTTGAAATTGCAATACTACTTAAGAATAAATTGTTTGTTACTTATAAAAAAAAGTGTAATACTTTTAAATCAGATCAAAATGTAAAAGTATTACTTTTTTTTTTCTTCAAAAGTATTATATTTTCTCATATAAATAACAAACATCTTATTCTATATTAGTATGACAATGACAATTTCACATTGACCTCTTGACTTTCCAAACCTCCAAGTCTAGCCATAGAATGATAGAATATCTACAAATCGCAAAATCCACTGCTGGCACGACCACAGCCTCAACTTCACATTTTGTTCAGTGGACTTTCACATTTACAATTTACGGAGATTCAGAAATCTTTTTCAGTGTAGGCAAAAGATTAAAATTAATGAGATATTTAAAAAAAAATTAAAATACTTAGAGACTGGGTCATAAATATTATTGACTAGAGATCGATGAATAAAATACATTAAAACGTAATAAAAATATTCAAAACAAAATAGGAAACATAATTAATTAGATATAATAGTTTGAATATATAAATCACTTACATTATAAATCATCATCTCACTATTAATATTTTAAAAAGAAAAAAACCCTCAATGTTACAAATAAAGAATTTAATTAGAATTAGAAATTAAAAATTAATCTCATAAATCACAATTCTAATCTTACTATTAATATTTAAAAAGGGCCAAAAATATTAATATTAAAAAACGAGGGAAAAAAAAAAGCTCCAATGTTACAAATAAAGAATTCAATTAGAATTAGAAATTAAAAGTTAATCTCATAAGTCATAAATCACAATTATAATCTTACTATTAATATTTAAAAAGACCCAAGAAAATGAAAATTTATTTGAAAATTCATGTTTTAGTATCTGCACGGACCGCACCCATGACATTTAAGACATTAGCATATACCTTATCATCTAGGCTACTTTATGTCAATGGTCCACCTTGTAAGGTGAATTAATCATGGTCGTCCATGGTATAATGATTAAACTATATATTTACTGATATGTAAATACCCACATTCTCTTTTCACTAATATAATATGGTGTGTGATATGCATCATAACTATTTGTTTTATATTCATTAGCTAACTGTAAATTAATTTGATGTTTCTATTACAAATTAATTATGTAAAGGCATGTAAGAAATGAGTTGAGAAATTCATGTGCCTGCCATGCTAAGCTGAGGTCTGGTATACCCACCCAATAGTAAGTGAGACAGAAAAATAAATGTTGTGTAAGCATATGCTAGAGACTTGAGAAATTGATTATGGCTTGTTTGTTATGCCTAAAAAGGAGATGAACATATCATTGCATGCTAAGTTGTAAGTTGGTTCTCTATTCTTCTTGTAATTTTTTTTTTCTCTAATTTCTATTATTTTTCTGCTTTTCTAGTAGCAGCCTAGGATTTGGGAAGCTAAGTGACAAATGGTAATAGGGAGTTTGGTAAATAGTTGTTAGTTGATTGAGTTAGTGGGTCTAATTAGTTGATAGCATTCGGTGATTGTAGAAAAGTGTTTGGTAAATTAGCTATTAGCTGATTACATGCAAAATGACTTTCTCAAAAAACTAATCGAAAAAGATACTTTGACTAGCATTTTGCATTTTGATTTTTTGAAACAATAAGTTGTTACAAAAAGTTAATTAATTAAACAATCATATTGATTATTTAACCAAGTTAAACAGCTACTAGTGATTAAATAAGTCAAAATTAACTTATAAACTAATTAATTATGTTACCTGGGACCAATATCAATGGCCCTCTGTCACTTTGTCGATGGATAAAAAGAAGATTTTGATGAAAGATGAATGGTGGAGAAACCAAATTAAATAGTTTCTCTTTTTATTATCAATACCATCTTATTTGAAATTTGAAGTATGAAACATGCCCAAAAATGAAAATTGAGTGTGATGAGAACAATAGTTTTAAAAATGATTTTATTATTGATCAATTCATTGTATTATATATATATATATATATATATATATATATATATATATATATATATATATATATATATATATATATAAAAAGAGTCGCAGTTAAAGATAAGAACCGTAAATGATATATTCTCAATAATACGAGAAGGGGGAGAAGGAATTCTAGTTTGCCTAAAATACAGAATCTTAATAAGTACAAAATTCAGGCACATTAATTATTCGCACAATCGCACGGGAGACACTTACCCGAACTGGAACTTAATTCTATATATATATATATATATATATATATATATATATATATATATATATATATATATATATATATATATATATATATAATATGTATTTATTGTGATACTTATACATAGATATCTAGAATAAAATTCAATCCGTCTCATGGGCAAGAATTCGTGAGTGAGACATCTCACACAAATTTTTGCCATACATTTATTACTTATATATTATACTAATATTTTTTATGCACGATGCGCAAGAAATAGGTGCCCAATATTAGTACTTTATATTAAAATTTTAGGTTTAATAATAATAATAATAATAATAATAATAATAATAATAATAATAATAATAATGTAAAACATTTTATAAATTTGATATTTATTTTTTAAGAAATAACTAACATATAACCCCAATATATAATGTGTATATATTATTATTATTGAAGAATATACAAGAAAGTATATGGTGGATATATGTCCATATATATATATAATAACAATAGTGGAAAAGATAACGGAAGTTATAATGGTAGGGGCATGTTTGTCCAAAATATTACATAGTATAACTTTTATAGCATAATGTATCAAAAAACTTAACGAAAAAAAGAGACATAAATAAAGGGTATAACCTCCGTCCACACTTATTATGTTTTTAGATTAGATGATAAACTACGACTGGGATCGCCCGCAGTTGTTGCCTAATTCGTAACACACCCTGGGCTCTATGTCTTAATTAGACCATTTCTTGAGCTTATTAGGCACAGACCTAGCTAGATATGGTACCAAGGAAGCGACTACGATAAATGCTGTCTTAGTTACAGTGACCGGCTCTGTGCTACATGAAGACCAGCCATACCCAAACATCATGCAAAAAGTGGCTAATCTCATCTCTCTCTGGTAGGGCATGTTTTCCGTCAGATATTCAATCGTCGTCATTGCCGCAGAAAGGCTTAGAGTATTGACCACCAAGAAGACAGTGAGGGAAAATGTGGAAAATTCAGGAGTAAGTTTATTCTTGTATATGTAGTCTGGGGGATTGATCCCAGCTTGATAGGTGACTTGGACTAAGAGCGCCGCCACCACCAGTACCGCATTGCGGGCATCACTTGGTGTGTCCCTTGAGTACTTGAACTCAAAGTACTCCATCCAGTTTTCCGGCTCCCCATTTGGTAACATATCTACTCTCTCGCCCTCCCTACTCATGTTTCCCGTCTCCACCGATGCCATATTTGTTTCTGATCTCAGGGATATGATTTCAAAACATACATATATACATATATAATATATAGACAGATCAGATACTAGGATGGAACGATAATCAAACAAGATCAGACAATGGTAAAATACCTATACAAATGGATATAGAATCTAGAATCTAGAATCTTAAAACTCCAAGTTAAAATACCTATTTGGTCTGTTGTTGAAGCTGTAGTATTTGCTGTTGTTTTGAAGCTGCTGTAGTTTTTGCTTGTTTCGAATCAGGACTGCATGCATGGAGGCTAAGTAATATAATAGAGAAAGGAATTTAATTTTATTGTTGAGGAAGTTTAATGTGGTGGGTGGAGTGCACAATATAGTGGTTCAGGAATCAATGCAGGGAGTCAATTCCACCCTAAGGCTCGAATCCACAACTAGCCTCTTATATGAGAGAATAATTTGATGTCCACTAGATTATAATGTGGCAAAATTAATTAAAAATATACGCAGTCTAAATTATTATTATCACCATTTTATAGCATGTAAAACAGTTAATTCTAATTTTAGTTTCTAAGTAGCTATGACGACAGTTTCACAATTACTCACACTTATTTCACATTATTATTACTTCTTGACTTCAATTTTTTTTAGAAAAAAAAAAAAAAAAAGAAAAACGAAAAGGGTCCATTTCAAAATTTGGTCAAAGGAAAACAAATATCAAATTTCACACACCAAAAAAAAAAAAAATTGTTATGAATTCTTCTCTCTTTCAACTCTCTCTCTCCCTCTCTCGACTAGGCAAATTATCTTGTGGATCATGATTTACATTATCAATCATTATTGTGTGGACCATATTATACTTTTAGTATATTAAAATGTACATTATTTGAATATTAAAAGTACATTATATTATATAATGTACATTCAGTACAAAAATAGTGTATTTTTAATATATTAAAAATGTACTTTCTTTTATGGTTCATACGACACTATGTGGATCATGGTCCACACAATAATTTGCCTTACACCGTAAGGTACGTCAGTGATATAGATTCATTTTAATATATACTAAATTATAAGTATCTGTTCAACGCTTCCATTAAAGCTCAATCTAATGACTCTCATGACTTCCCACAAGGAAGAGGTCACACATGCCATCTGAGCACAAGGTGCTTGGCTGGTCTAGAGACTTAATTGTTTTATTTATTCATCTATAAAGTCCACAAGACCACAACTACAAAATCACAAATTGATATGCGTCATAGTCTTCTACTCTTGTTTTTCGGTCATGCTTTCCCTTTAGATGAAATGACGATTCAGAGCATATCTAACATGTGCCATTGCACACGGCTCTCAATTTTTGGTCGGTCATGCTTTCCCTTTAGATGAAATGACGATTCAGAGCATATCTAACATGTGCCATTGCACACGGCTCTCAAATTTTGGTCGGTCATGCTTTCCCTTTAGATGAAATGATGATTTAGAGCATATATAACATGTGCCATTGCACACGGCTCTCAATTTTTGAGGTCTCATATTTTTTTTAAAAAAAAATTATATGTATATATAGTATACATAATTTCAAGTTAAGTGTAGGAAGATTGGGTCAATTTATGATAAGATGAAATTGAACCTAATTGACAATTATTATAAAAACCCAAAAAAAAAATGTGTGTGTGTGTGTGTGTGTGTCTATATATATATATATATATATATATATATATATATATATATATATATATATATATATATATATATATATATATATATATATATGTATGTATGTATGTATGTATGTATGTATGTATGTATGTATGTATGTATGTATGTATGTATGTATGTATGTATGTATGTATGTATGTGAGCATATAGCCATTAACGTGCAATCCAATTATCAGCTTAGGCTTTTAGTTGAGATGGATCACATACTTCAATTTGGTATCAGAGCTAGACCAAAGGTCATGGGTTCGAATCTCAACGCCACTCGTAAGCGACAACAGTTTACCTGGAATCCACCGTACACGTGAGAGGGCGTGTGAGCATATAGCCTTTAACGTGCAATCCAACTATCAGCTTAGGCTTTTAGTTGAGATGGAGCACATACTTCAATTCATACATACATATATATATTTATTTATTGTAACACCCCACTTTTCATAATCTAAATCCCAAATACTTATCTTAACAAGATAAAGTAAACAAGCTAAAATGAAATAAACTAAACAAGTCAAACTTCATTAATCAACAACAACTTGGGGAACAACCCCAGTGTCACTTGCAACAACAAAAGATCAATCTAAGTCATCAGTTAAACAAACATCAGTATCTAACAATCAACTATCTAAACAACCAAGTAGAAACTAAACTAGAATCTACTATCTGAAAGTCTACGCACTAAACTAACTCGTTCGTGCTCAACAACTGGGCCCACTTGAAAGGAGTTATAAAAACAAGTAGAAAATAAACTCGTTAGCAATTTAATGCTAAGTATAAAACCACTCAACCCTGTAAAGTACTATAGAATATAGATTTGAAAATCATTTGGCGAGCACACATATCCTCAAACACTTTCAACACTTAAACAACAATTTCAACAAACTCAATATCAATTCTATATGTTTGCAACCTATACATCATATAATCATGCTTTTTCAAGTACTCAACTAAATCACATAACTCATGCTTCAACTATAGATAAAGAGATACTAACAACTCAACACCAATCTCATGCTTTCATGCTAAACAACAATCAATCTCAAAGCTATCATACCAACCCAACAATCAATGACAAGCTATACATATCAACATACTCTAAATGCAACACATGCAAGTCATGAAAGGAAAAGACATGATGCTGTAAGTATATATATATATATATATATATATATATATATATATATATATATATATATATATATATATATATATATATATATATATATATATATATATATATATATATATACTCTCGCTCTAAAAAAGGTATACTTTTCTATGGAGGTTTCTGTTGAGTCACATAGACTCGCTTTTCTCTTCTTTCTCTTTGAGTCTCTTGACTCACTTTTCTCTTCTTTCTTTCTTTCTTACTTGCTTTCTCAAACTTTCACAAACTTTCTCATGATTCTCATTTCTCTTCTTGGCGAGGCAGGTACTCCGCCGCAGCGAAGCCCTAGCGAATGGTGCAATCTCGTGCAACCGCCACTTCTGTATCAACGGAACCTCTAACTCGTGGGGAGGTAGGTCTTCACGAATCGTGAATGGACCTAACCGGCTCGGCAATCTAGCCGGCCACATACTCAACTTGCCCACATAACCACTCTCTTGGTTCTTAAATCTTTCTCTGTGGAATCAGGTATCGTACTTTAGTGTGCACACCCCCTTACTAGGATTCCAAGCCTAGCGGGCAGTCTCCAACCTAGTAACGCGGGAATATCGACCTTGTTACTTCTAAAAAACTTTTGGTTCGCAATGACCGATTCTTTCTCAAACTTTCTTTCTTTCTCTTTTCTTCCGAAAGGACATAGTCCTAACGGTCCTCGAAAATACTATTTTCTTCACAATAGATAGTATATAGATATATCTCAAGCCACAAACTCTACTTATGTAAACTCATGCACAAATATTCTCAATCAACTTCTCTTTCTCACAACTTTGGAAATCAAATATCATGCAACTTCTCAATGCAAATAGATAATGATTTTCCAAAATAGATATATGTTTTTGAAATAGAACTTAGGCTTACTTAGGGCCAATAATGCACTTTAACCATGAAATGCACAAATCATACTCTTTACTATGAAACTTACACAATTTCTCATTCACTGTGATCTTATGAAAACATGCACTGCGGATGCAAAATTTCTCAAAACTTGGCAAAACTTCTCAATAAACACTAACATGTATGTAGGCATGCTTCTCAATCAAATAACAATGCTCAAAAGCCAAAACCACATTTACTGGAATTCAACTCTCAGACAACAATATCAACAACATTAACAGAGAACTCAATAATCACAAATTCAACTATGAATCATGCTTTATAACTCCAAAATCAACGAAACGAACTTCTACTAGTGCGTCGTAACGAGCCAAGTGTCCGAGCCTCAAGGGCCCACAAGTCCCGGTCCGAACAATGCGTAGCTGAGCCACAGAGGGCCCGACCAGTGCTGAAAATGGCTTAGCGGAGCTTGGTGATGAGGCTTGGGAAGCCCCGCCACTTGGCTCCGCTAAGCCGCGGTGCTTGGCAACGGACCTCGCCATGGTCCGTTGCCATGGTCCGCCTCTCAACGGGGCTGGTCAACGGACCATGCCATGGTTCGTTGGCTAGCACCATTGGGTGATCTGGTGCACCATATGTGTGCACCAGACACCTTCTTCTTCCCTGTAACAGAAACCAGTGCAAAACCAACACTTCTAAACCACAATAAATCAATCATAGATCATCTACAACACACAAATAGCTCAACCACAACATCTATGTAGCATTTCTACACATCAAACCACAATCTAACAGTTAACAGAGAACAAAAATGATAGTTTGGGAGTCCATGGTTTATACCTTAGCTTGTTCTTCCTCTTTGTGTGGATCCCTTCCTCCTCCCAACTCAACCACTACCTCCTTCACCACCTAAACACCTCAAACAAACAAAACAAACATAGCTTAAAGAGAGTTTCCCAGAGATTGGAGACAACAGATGGAACACTAGAAGGAAAAGGAATGAATGGATGAGATTGAATGCTAGAAAATCTTACTGTGTATTCATTCTTCTACTTGGCAGACAAGGCTCGGGAGAGGCAAAGAATGGGATCTGGAGGTTTCAATGAAATGGTGAAGTTTATATAGGGTGCAAAACCCTAGGTAGATCCTCAATGATTGGTGGAGGGTAAAGGAGTCATTTGGCTTGCTCTTGTAAAGATCATACAAAGTTTGAAGAATGCTTATGGTCCACCTTGCATCATGAACCAAAGTCTAAAAAGTGAAATTTGAATAACTTGGGGTTAAAATAGATTTTTTAGAAAATATTTTCTAGTTAAAACACTTGATTCAGGTTTCACAGGTTCTTTTCCGGTTTCACTCAGATTGACTTTTTGGGTCAAAACTTGGTACATAAATGTACCCGAAATTTAGGATTTTTGAAACAGGATAAAACTTGGTGTTGAATTTATTTGAAAACTCGGTTTAAAATATTTAATTCAAACACCATTTTTTAAATAAAATTTCGTAAGAGTGAAAATGACTATTTTGAAATTTTG